GGGCGGCGCTTCTCGCATCGCGCGATCCTAAGACCGGAGAGTCGTTTTCTACTGAAGAGCTGATATCAGAAGCAAGTCTTTTCATAATTGGTGGTACTGACGGTATGATAACCGCAACAACGTCAACCTTATTCTATCTCACACATAACCCACGCACGCTCGAACGCCTAACACGTGAGATTCGTGAGGCATTCCCCTTGTCTCCCGAAGATATTGGAAAGAAAGCATCAGAAATCAAGTGCCCCATTCGGTTTGCTTCTGCAGAACTGCAGAGCGTTAAATACTTGCCCGCCTGTATTGATGAGGCCATGCGTCTCTCACCCCCTGTCCCCAGCATCTTACCACGTGTTGTTGGTCCAGGGGGGATGGAGGTAGACGGCGAATACTTCCCTGCTGGTGTCAACTTGGGTATTCCGCACTACTGCATGCACCACAGCGAAGAGAATTTCGCCCAGCCTTTGACCTACGCACCCGAACGCTGGTTCCCTGAAGAACGCGAAAGAGGGCTTAAAGACGGTTCTGTGCCTGTGTCAGGCAAAGAGTCCGTCAAGATGCAACCCGCAGTGGGTCTGGCGCATGGATTTACCCCGTTTGGTGCTGGTCGTAGCGGATGCATTGGGAAACACCTTGCCTACCAGGAAATGTCCATCGTTTTGGCTCGTCTCATCTGGCTCTTTGACATTCGTTTGGACCCCAGCAGCAATTTGGGAGAAGGTGTAGGAGATGCTAAAGAAGGGCGAGAATGCAGGAGCGAATTTCAGCTGTATGATCGCTTTGTCAGTTCACAAAACGGGCCCATGCTACAATTTCGCTATCGGGAGGAGTTGGCTGCATAAGCAGGGGACATCAAGGATCGTAGCTGTTTTTCAAGTGCTTTTTTGTTTCGTCATATTTTCTTTTTCTCCGGAAATGCTAAGGATGCGAATAGGATTGGATGGGAGAAACGTTGGCCGACATGGCAGCACATGTCACTTCACATGTATGCAGGTTGGGCCAAGGGAGGAAAAAAGATCACTGGTTAACTGAGCGTAGTCTAGGTAGATAGCATTAGTGCTAGAATCATAAAGCATCGTGCTACTACGTTGATCAATTACCAATGATCCTTGGATACTTGACATTTCTAAGCGATATGTTGCTACATGGGGCTCGTATATGACAGAAGCCAATTTGTGTTATTCTCAGATTCTAATAGGTATTCCGCTGACCGCCTGACTCGCCTGCGTAACTCAGTTTGATTGACGTGCTGTTTCAAGCTAATCTTCAGCTTTCAGGGCCCTTACCTTTTACTTTCCCATTTTGTGACTTCGAGGGGAAAAGGGCTCAAGGCTCGCGGTGTGGTGCAGCTTATAAATTCACGCGGCTCGTAAATATGGAGAATCGACGTTTTCTTTGCTGCTTCGGCAGAATTCCCCCTTTCTGCATATACGCAGTACGAAGTACATGTACAGTATTAATACGGTGTATCACTCCCCGAGAGTAATCATTAGACTACCAACATCTTATAAAAGAGCTCCATAAAAGTCTCTGCAGGGCTCGCACTGGCCAAGCAAGTCCAGTCTATTGGTACGACAGATGCCTCACTCTGCCTTTGAGCTTTACTAGGTAGTACTGGTATTCCGCATCTTACACCCCCCCTGGGAGCAGTGATGCAACGTGATCATTTAAAAATTTCCTTGTTGATCGCTTTTGAATGCTTGCTTTTACTTATCAGGAAGGGGGTGGATAAGGAAGTTCCGGAAAATGCAACGCTATCAGTCGGGCGGTGATAGGTTTAGCATGGAATCCCGGAATGTGAGAGGCGATGTAATTGACGAGACAATTGAGAATTTTGCTACCGGGTGTACGGAAATGCAGTTTCGTCTCGTTAAACTTTTGTGTAGAAATGTGGAAACTGTTTGTGATGAGTCGACTCATCTTGAGAGCTACTTATGCATGTTGGTTCCGAGATACTGATTGCGGTGTATGTTTGCGGTTGGACAGGGAGGAGAAAATCTCGCGGGCGACGATAACCGGCGGGCCCGGAGAGTTAAAAAAAAAAAAAAAGCAACCGAGAAAAAAAATCAGTGGGATTGCGCGGAGATCTCGAGGCTCCGAGCCGGCATGTCTAGATGGAGAACGTGAGAAGGATTTTAGGATAAGTCAGGGCAAAATATGGTACCGAGGAAGGGGGAAAAGGTACCAGCCGCTAATGTCCAATGAGGGTTTTCTAGGAATCGCTGAGCTGCTGTGGGGGGTCAGTGACAGGGGTGGTGGCTACATGCAATACTACTATTTGGGACGATACATGGAGTAGGACCCGTCTCTTGATCTTTGGTTGGTACGGAGTGCGGAATGCTGAGATATAGAATGGCGCCACTTTTGGTAGGCCGACGGATGCTTCTAGTTTTCGGGTGTCATAAAACTGAGAACGACTCGCATCGTATATCCGGCTGAGTGAGTTCTGTAGTGACACGAGCAGTGACTGAACCCGTACGTGTAAGCGGAGTTGGAGAGGCCAATTGATTCGACGTCTCACGATGGATACGGAGCGAATGCGGTATGATGGGATGGCTAATGATATGTGACTGAACCCAGCTTCTGGTACAAGAGCGATACGCTTTGCTGTACGGCCGGAGGAGAGTACCTACTACTAGCTGTGGGTGCCCCTGGTCAGATGGATACAGACTCTATGTAATAATACTAGTATTAAACTGCGAGTAGGTAATATCCTCACATTGCATTATTGAGGACTTGGTACTCCTTGAAACGTCATATACTTGCTTACTCGGACTGCCAGGGGATAATACCCTGGAGGTGGGACCATCAGATGAATAGATTGATACAGAAAGCAGTGGTGTGTAGTATAATTACACTATGGGATACTTCAATACGAGTCTGGCTGTAGCAAAGTACGTTATAAAGATTTGTGTCAAATGCTATGCTAAATTTCAACATGAGTATCTGGAGCTGGCCTCTGTTGAATCTACCGTTAAAGAGAAGGAAGCAATGGGGTACATGGTCATAGAGGTCAGCTGGTTCGACTTCATCCATGGAAATACAGGGGAGAGGTAAGCTATCGGGCTTTACGAGTAGGGTTTACTTCTGGAGTTACTAATACCTAGTAATACTCACTCAAATGAATTTTCCGATATAATGAGTGGGAACTTTGGTTGATGGTGTACTTCTCCAATATTGTAATTAGCAATGGCGAGCTTTCCCCTTAGCCACATGTTTCCAGGTTCGTCTGTGTATAGTCGATTGGCGTGCCGATAAATTAAACAGGGATCTGGTCAAGTTTATCTAATATCCACGTTTATAAAATCTCGCTGGGCCATCAAAAGACATATAACTCCAGCTTGGAGCTCTCCCGATTTCCACCTGTTCGGTGGCTTTAGAGTTACCTATAGTTGTTCAAAGGGCAAGGGTATATCTATAATCCGGCCAAATAATTTCCAAATTGTGGCTTCACAAACTATACAACATCAGAAGAAGCGGTAGCTTAATCCCCTATTCTGGGGAACGTCATGTGGGGGTACGATTAAACAAGTCTCGCCCGTTATGTGAGTTGACGCTCAACTTGAAGCATCCATCATCAGCTACGTTTCCGATACTCAGGTAGTAGGTGCAAGTAATTTCTTATGTCTCTCGAACAAATGCTTAATAATACACGGGGGCCAAATCCAGAAATTTGAAGAGCCCAAGTAGTTCGCCATCTGCGTCGCTTACAATTTTTTTCCCAGCAATTCTGCGTCGCTTTGTTGTTAACGCGCAATTAATATTACTTTGCCCAGTATTTATGAGCTGCCTCTGTCAAGCAGTGACTCAATGTCATATTGAACGGCCGAGAGCTATTCAGTGGAACAGTGGAGCTGAATCCAAAACAAAAAAAAAACTTCTCTTTTAGCTCGTGTGGGGCTGTTTGGTACGTCCGGTAGACTTGAGCTACACTTGTGAATATATTTCACCTTGCAACCTTATAATTGTCTGGCGATGGCTGTATTGAAACGCTTGATCCCGCGTTTTCTGGCAAAGGCTGGGATATCATACCGTTAGATTATAGTAAAGCTTGCATGGTGCTGCAAACTGTATTGATGGGCTCCTCTCTTAGCATCTCAGAGGTGTAAGTGCGAGTATAGTAGTATTATACGGAATTATAGGTTTCCAAAACATAGACATAGCCACGTTTCCGCCATCGTTTGTGTTGCTCTTAAGGGTCAAACAATCTTGATAAACAGACTTGATAGATATGATGAGGGAGTATGTAGCCCAATGATGAGTACCATGAGGCTCTAAGATGAAACAAATAGAGACATGTAAACAAGAGGACAAACCAGACGACACAGATATCTAATTGGGTTGGGCTATTTGAGTATGAGTTCCTGAGTCAGTGTAACTTTAGCTGGAACAAAGAAAGATTGGACGCCTAATGCCAAATTCGCCAACCTAGAATACCGCATAAGCTGGACGTCTGGTGTGCACATCCGTATCCTGCATACGCCCTCCAATATGAGACAAAAGTGTTCATGCAGTGTAGCAACAACTGCTAGTCGACCGACAGCTCCTGCTCTATGTTCTCTTAAACGTACTAACCAAGCTTTTAACAATTTTTTTTTAAAAAAATAAATAAATAACAAAGAACAGCCGTCACGTATTAGGGATTTGTTATACTGATAACAATAGGTTGCTGGTTGGTAAAAAAAAGTGACTTTGGCGATCTGGGTGTGGTGACTTCACCCCCAGTAAAGCTGAGAAAGATTGTAAAAACCTGCAATGTCGGGCGCGTTTGTGTCTTTCCATATCTACATGCATACCCTATTAGTTCGCTATCTATTCAATTATTGCATCTTCATTGTGGCACTCTGTATCTCGCATGTATCACAAGCATCAGCATTCAATTGCCTGACTTCACAGATGGTTGCCTTGGAAATTTGAGACGAAGAAATGACCTGTTAGGGTAGTGAGGTTTAGTGTGGGGTGCAAATCTTCATAATCTTTTACTCCGCCGACACCTTCACAAGCAAGTCTTCGTGGCGCAGTTGGCTAGCGCGTCAGTCTCATATTCTCCATAAATATGATCCAAATCTCCAGTTTGGGCTATCTGAAGGTCGTGAGTTCGAGCCTCACCGAGGACATTCTTTTTTTCTTCAGCTTGGACTTAAAACAGCCCGTATAATGTCAATTTTTTTTTTGTTACCTGAGTTATTAAAGAAACAATCGTAAACACAAAGAAGACAGTAAATAAACCATCGTATGCCCTCCACCGCTAATCCGTTTCATCAACGCGAGACAGTCTTCTTTGTCGCAATCATTCTCATTCACTTTCAGAGTGTTGGCTAAAACTCTTGGTCAGAGGAATAACTAGTATCAAGTCTATTCCCTGTATAGCCAGTCACGGAGAAGTCTTTGAGATGGCATCTCGCTCGAGGTAGTGTAGTCCCTTTCAGATCCTCCTGTTGGCCGCCACAGCAACTGGAAATATGTCTTCGTCACGAAAGACTATCAGTGAGTAGTACACCCTGAGCATCGATTTCCGAAACATCTGTTTACTACTACATCTGATTTTAGTAATCGTTTACTTATTGATCGGAGTGTGGGTTTTGTGGGCCTTGGCAATCCATATTTGCAATGTTGGACAACACAATTATGAGATTCTGATCCACTAGAGAAACCAGTTTTGACCAAGATGAACACTAGCCATCACATACCTTCTTGGATGACGAAGAACCGCCGGTCAACCTTCGGGCCATGTTCTTTGCCTTGTTCGTAAGGGTAGGTTGAGATCTCTTGAAGCACTTTTCGCACGGCTCTTCCTCTACGTAGTCTCTTGCCTCCGTAAACTCGCCACACTGTTCGCCCTTTTTACCCTTTTCACAGGGCACCCTCAGTGTTTGCAAGCGCTTTTCGCACACGGGGCAAAAGCAACCGATGTAGCTACACATTGTTAATTCGAGAATAGGTCAAATTGTAGATGTATCGCAGTTGTGCTGGTGAGGTAGATAGAGTCTTGGTTCCAATGAAGCTTTTCCATTGAACAAAAAACGAAGGGAGCACCTCATTTATAACATCCTACTTTTCAACAGTTATTCGACTGTAATGAAACAAAGATTCAGTGGCTTTGTGAATTGATGTTCATCCGTAGTGTAACTAAGAGCTCACAATCTTTGTTGTTTGTTCGTCGTGATTCACCTATGATGTATCCACTTCTCTGGCCAAGAGGCGGCTTGATACAATTGAATTGTTCCTGCTAATAGCAGTTACATTACAGGAAGATTTTCGTTTACGATCATGCCACAGTGAAGTGAATGGCCTATCTCCTTGACAAATATCGCACCAGATAATCACCATAGCATCTTGAGTTGGTGAGTAATAGTAATTGTTACTCACAAAGAAGATAATAAACCTGAAAAGTAAAAGTTTTCCAATATTATTCACTTTTTGTGACCAAACGTCTGGCAAACTAGATCGCAGGTGTTAAGAACTACGATAGCATATAAACAGCAAGAGCTAAGCCCTTTTCATGGACACATTGTCATGCTGGTAGACCATTTCAAGTCTCGTCTACTGTCCTTTTGTAGAATTTATAGAACTTTAGCATATAATACTTCAAGAGGTGGCATATTACAACTTTGTTGCGATCTGGTTGAGCTAAATTACCGATAATTTCCAGCTGATCCCTGGTTTAACTTGCTTCCATATTGTAATATGTTGAGGGTCCTACTCGCCCTCGTCTTAGCATTTGCTTTCATTCTAAGTCTTCCCCGTTGCGATACATAGTGAGAGGCAAAACATGTCTTATATCTGCCAATCACTAAACCTTTTCGTCTTTCTACTAATACAACGAAGAAATGATTACCTCCAGCGGGTTTTTTTTTTCCCCACGTATATTAAGGCTTCCATTACATCTCAATATTGCGACGCCAATAGTGGGAAAACGCTCTGGTGCCTCTGATGTGAGCCAGCGTGTTTAACTCCGTGTCTTAGTCGCAGCCACATATATAGACTTCTCCATGGGCATCAAGTGTATATGTTAGCAAGCGTTTAATTACAATGCCCAGATTATAATGACATGCTGAAAAATCTTACAAAGCTATTCTCGAGATTGAAAGCGTGAAGATATGAGTGGAGGCGCGAAAGGTCATATACAGAGTTATATACCCTGATAGGCAACCAAAATCGGCTAGTGTTATAAATAATTTATATTCCTCTTAAAGTATTGCCTCAACAGATGCTAGCCGTTTTGTTATAATGTTGAGTCGTTATCACGGGCAGCATATATATATTGTTTTTCCCCGAGGTGAAATCCTGTACGTGGATAGGTCGTCGAAGGACACCAAATGGTATGTAAGTTGATTGAGAGTGCCTACGAATGCGCTCATCCGCACAGCATTGATTCATCTCTTCGATGCTATAAACTTCTATATGGAGTACAAATACTGTAATTATCTAGCTTGGAAGGCTGAGAAAGCGGCGTTTAAGCATCAGTTACCTATGTCTAAGGCCCAAGCGCAATTAAGCGAGAAAATGGCGTGACCAAACTTAATCTACTAGGGAGGGAATGAGGCGTGATTTGATCCAGATTCTGTAAGGGGTACATGTGGATATAATACTAATGGACAATGAATGAACGCACCCAAGTTACTTGGCCGCTATGACAGTTCACAGAGATCTACTGAGCACTACAAAATGCGGTTACTTACTTGGGCATAGATATAAATCATCAGAACTATGCGCCGTATCAGAGGATAGATTAAGTTCGCGATGATGAGCATTTATTACCTGTCGAACATCTGCGACGTTTCTCTAGAGTAATTTATCTTTGTGGTATTGTCAGTAGAAATACATGTTGTGACTTGAAAAATGGTGCCCGCGCATTGGAGAACAGTATCTCGTCGTGCCTGATTCATCGCCAGCTTTTGAGTACAGTTTCCCATCTCACTTTCTAATTCTTACGGCTTACAATAATAGCTTATGCTCTGTAACATATTACTCTATTTTCAGGATGTTGAGTGTTGATTAATCAGCATTCAAGTTAAACAAGGGTAACCCCATCTCAAGGATCAGGGTTTTGTATACACTCTTCTACGCCAGCCTTAGAATAAGTACTCACATATACATGATAATCTTTTCACAGTAATTGAAGTACAAATTTGTTACACGTACGCAGGTACACGAACAATTCATGTGGCCCAATCCTAAGCGCCCGCAAAGTAGCTCATTTATGAAGTCCAATACCAAGATTCAGCTCAACTCTCCGCATCGCAGTTGTGAAAATACGCACACGGCTCCGGGTAGGAGCGCAAAACCAAGGCCGCTTCCAAGAACCGAGTTATCGTGAACCAAGGCCAAATCGGTATTTTTCTTAGCCCTTGCGAGAATATGTAAATCTAAAATAATGAACACGGCGATTAACGATACTTCGTCCACTTACTATGGATGGAGCCTGTAATACTTCATGTATACATCTAGGGGCCAGCCGATATGGCTTAACTGTTTAGAGTACATGTATTCTTCTGCTCTCTCCCTTTTTTTTTTTTTTTTTTTTTTTTTTTTTTTTACAAAATACGTCTTCTATTCTTTTTTTTTTACAAAATACGTCTTCTATTCTTAAATACAGCGCCATGAGGTATGTTGCTAGCTGTTTTTGTCATGCCGCCAGGCAGCCCAACCGCGGTATTCATACATCGGAGTCCATCAATACTAGCTCGATGTCTTGTACTGAGACATGCTTGAAAGGCGGTCTATTAAATCCGGCCTATTAAATCCGTGCTTGCCTAGGGCAATTTAAAATGCTGTGGCTAGCTGAAACATAAGACTCCAGGATCGAGACCGGACTTGGGGTCTACAACATGGTCATTAATTTATATTTTAAGCAAGAAACAGCTCTACCTCTGAATCTACCATTCACTATGACAATCATTACGATGCCATCTTTTATATGCGCGAGAATGGCTACCCGAGATATTATGGCACGTAATCGCGATTTTATCATATCTCAAAGAACTTGCTATCCAGGGAGACAGAGATTTCTTCGCCTGAATCACCCCATAAAATAGATTGGTATGCAAATCCGGCAGCGCCAAGAACGTTTCCAACGTAATAAGTCCTGTCAGACAAGTGGCCGGCGTCCTAAACAGGCAAGGATGGTACCTGTTATAGCCTTAAAATTGGCGTCTGACGGCTCAGTGGGGAATTTTCAGCCCCAAATCCACTTATAGGTGCTTGTGCCGTACATGTGGAGGCGATCTTGGTCCGGCCCGGATAGGGGTCCCTTGCCGTCGAGATGCCTCGCAGTGGGCCAAGAGAACCAAAGCACTGTAATCATAAGTGATGGGAAGGACTGCTGTGGCGGCATCCTCTCCTTTTGCTTGCATTGCTATGCTTCGGAGAGGAAAACTGCACATCAATCCACTGTAATTGAGATGCCTAAGAGTTTTAGCCGCCATTTCTGCTACTCTTGTAGGTCTCTCTAGGCATGTCGTGTCCTTGAGGCTTGATTCTGGCCGGTGGCCGTTGAAAGCAAAGCAGGGAGCGCAAGATGCTAGGGTAACGCGATACACCTAAATGTGCACGGAACGCGTATTCGTAAATGTTACCCTGAAATTACGTGAAACCTGCTTTTCACCGCTCTTGCGTATATATCGCAACATGCCAAGCTTCAAATGAGTTCATGGTGTTAATAGAGTTGGTGGTGTTGCAGTGTGCAGACGCGGACGGGCTGCGAGGAGTCGCGTACAACATTGAAGTACCAGGTTGATATTGCGAGAGGAGCAGTAGGGCCATGTGCAGAGTCGGTTTTTAGCCGTTACTGATATGAAAGAAATGTTTGTGCATCCATACAGAATTCGTGAACTCAGGTTTCCCACAATATATAATTCGCAGGCCTACGATGTGGCATGAGGATTCTTAGCAATCCTTTTCTATATCCCAGCATAATGCAGACGGAGAATATGTATTGATTGTGCGCGTATATTATATTAAATTTACGAATATGTGGACGTAAATATTTGCCCTACAATACATCATTCTTTCTCAAACAAGATTGATGGCAATATAGGGTAGCTTTCGTGACACCACGATAGCCTCCGAATTGTCGTGGCCACCTCGGCCATACAGCAATACTGGGCAAAAAGTC